ATGGGCTCTAGTAATAGGTAATAGGTTATAGAGACTAATCCTCCATTGCAACTTTTGGGATCTTTAAATATTGACCTTTTAACTGTGACATGTTTGTGCCTAAAATGATCAATATTGACTCTGAAATGTTTACAAGCATTACTGAGGCTTGTAATAAGATGCTACCACATGGTGTCTATAGGCAGATGTTCATGTACGTCAGCCGTAACAGATGAATAAATGTAGAAACATGCTTTGCATAGCAACAGCAGCTTGACAATTGATAATCAGTATTATATTGACATAATGGCAGTTTACCCCTATATCATCCTGTCCTGTTGCTGGGAAGTGACAACACAGGTGGCAGTTATCCAAATCAAGACCAAAAACAAATATCTTTATGTAAATGTGGTTTCATAACAACGTTTTTAATCTACAATGGGTCAATTACAACACACACACGCACGCACACACACTAGCTGCAACCATACTTCACTCCATTGGAAACACCCGCTGATGCACTTAGCTGGAGTTGGTCAAAGGAAACCATATGCCAGATTGGTCCAATCAGATTAGTGTGGCAATTTCTAGGCAAGCCTCTAATGTGATTGGAGGATGGTGGGGTGCAAGTTGTAACGAGGCCTTGGGACTATCGCTGAAGATATTCAGTGCTTAATAATCACACAGGGACACCACAGGTGGCACATTCCCAAACATCTCACACCTCCTTTCCTATGGTTTGTGTAGAAGAGCATCCTGCCAAGTCAAAATTATTATCAAATTCAATATGTAACCACACCATCAGATGGGTGGTTCCTCGCTGAAATGGCTGGTGGTTTAAGAAACCAAGTGCAGCAAAGGCTGCTGGTAAATCCTCACACCGAGTGAAAAGCCTTTTCTCAAATTCCTTTGCCATAAAAATCTATATGTGAACGTCCAATTGAAAAGACTGCTCTTTATCCTGTCATTAACATTTCTGCTTCGCGTTTTCAGATTTCAAAATCTTATTTCCTCATCAATTTGTGATGTTACACCAAACCACAGATGTCTGTCCGAGACCTCATGTTAAATACATTTCTTCATGCCAAGGATGTTTCACAACGGTGTTACTGTCACTTCTGTTACACAGTAGATTGAAACATATGGACCAAGGTTGTGTGTTTCAATTTCACCATTTTCACACAGTCAAATATTCCCAAATATTTTCTAGATATCGTGGGAAAACCCCCTTAAACCACATTTGCATGACACCAAGACAGTGAAGATCTCCACTGAAACCAGTCAGTAAAACATGTGATTTCCAGAACAACAGTGTATATGTTTAATGTCATTATGACAAAGCACTATATACATAGCTTTAAAATACAACCAGCTTCCTGTGCCTGTGCTCCCCCACCCCCGAATACTTTGAGAGAAACTACATCAACCACAGACCAAATGCCAGTCAGTTTTGGTTGTGGCTGTGAGGTTTTGTCAGTTCGCTCCAACCAATCAGAAACCAGGAATCTCTCTCTAGAACCAGGAAAACACAATACAAAGACCTTTTGAACTCTTTTATTTTTAATCCACTGGGGATAAAAAACTTTCTGTCTGTCTTTAATGTCTGCTGACATCATTGAGACGAATGCACAGCCTGTTGCAGACAGTGGATTTTCCCACCAGGCCTCTATAGTGCTGAAGGCCTCTCTTTGTGCACACGTCGGACTTGTGGATACTTTGACTTGACTTGTCTGGATCTCAGCCTTTAACAGACGCTGACAGACTCTTTTATCCACCTACTCCACCTTTGTTTTGCACTCCTACATAACAATTCAAGGGTTTTTACATGAGAGAGTGAGATTATCACAAGGCCCCTAGTAACTCCTCTTGGGTCTCTTGAATGGCGCTATTCAAATTTAAGTTTTATTATAAACCATTAGAAAACCCTACAAGTTCAACGTGCGATAAAGTCAGATCAATCTGAATCGTTTTTTTACATCTGTAAACACATTGACTGTTTGACGCTTCTCGAAAACTAATAAGGCCATAAGGCTGCATCTTTATCACTCTGTCTCTGGTATTTAAGATGAATATGGCTGCTAGTAACAATAATTTAACTACTGGTTAGTCTGCAGATTACAGCCTTGGTTAATCATTTAGACTAGAATACATTGTAAAGCGGAAAAATAAATACCTATGACAGTTTCTCAGTTTCTTCAAATGTCTTGTCTTTGACGCAGGATCTGAAATCCGTCAACGTTCTCGGGACTATGACAACGAGCAGGAAAAAGTGCAGTGACATTTGTTTGTTTGTTAATTTGTTTGGAAATGAATAATCCCTAATCAAAAAGAGTTGATCAACTGAATCGATGAGTCGACGAATCATTCCGGCCCTGAGCGTGGGTATGAAAAAAAACATGCTAGATCGTGCTACTGTCACTCATCCCAGCCCCAACACGACATTTTGACAGTGCGGTCCCAGATGCTGTCACATGCGCGGACCTTACATCCGACTCGTGAATAGGATGTGCTGCCGTTAAACTCCAGAATGGTTTATTCATCTTGTACAGGAGGGGCCATTTAAAAAAAAAAAAAATCACTCAAACAAGCTGTTGTGTGAACTGTACATTTCCCACAGCTGGTTTCTCTTCCACACTGAACAGTGACAGAACTGACGTGGCTCAGATTAAGTGAAGAAGCTAGCTAACTCGTGCTAACACATTTGGGACGTTGACAGTTGAAGCAGTTTGAAGTTAACGGATCAAAAGTCGAACGTTTTTAGAAGTTTATCGCTTTTCACACCTGACAACAAGACACCATCTTCTAATTGGTGTCTGTCACCTCTAACGTCGCTGCCACATTTGATAAAACCACTAAAAACAAAGCACGGAATTAAATCACGGACTCTTCCGTTTGATTCCACTACGGGAAATAGTGCCATCACACTCCGCGTACGTTGTTGGGTGACATGTAACCATCCGCCGCCTCGGCTGTGGCCAATTGATCAGTCGATGCGATAACGTGAAGATAAAATAAAAAAAAACCGCTGCGTCCTGGAAGTGACGACTAAACACGAGAAGCGACATTAAAGAGAGAACACACACACACACACACACACGCGCGGAAATTCTGCACGAGCACTGAATAAAAACGTAGATGTAAACTTACCACGTTGGCTTCCGTGTGCTTTTTTACGCTCTTTGGAACCGGAAGACACATTCCCCGTGTTTCTGCCCCCCTCCAGAGCACCGGGGTCCGGGCTGCGCCTCCGGTCACACGCCGAGGAAAACACAGCGAGGAAGAGGAGGAAGAGGAGCTGCGGCGGGCCGTGCGTTTATCAGCTCGGATTAACGCGGGTTTCATGTGACTGCATGATATCCACGCATTCGGCGTTTGCGTGTGATTGTGTTTGAACAGTTTGAGAGTCTGCACCGCTCAGACGGAGGAGGGGGGGTGGGGGTGAGCAGAGGCGTGGACAGCTCACTCACATCATTGGTTGACAAACAGCGATCAGATGCAAATTCCTAACCTCTGAATCAGCAGGGGCCGGCCCCCCCACCGTACCCCCACCCCACCCCCCGGAGCAGGGGCTGTCGGTAAATGCAAGAAGTGAAGAAGAAGAGGAGGAGAAGAGGAGGAGAAGAAGAAGAAGCAGCAGCTAATGGGTGAATGAAGAGGGTTTGTTTTTTTTGCATCTGTTATTTTCATTGAATGCACTTAAATGAGGTCTGGTTGCAGCTTTCTGTCCGTAATCAATGGGATTCAGTTGTTTGGGTTTTTTTGCACAATTTTGTGTTTAACCTACCTGATAATGGTGCTGAGGGAAGTTGGACAACTTTGTGGTCATCCCACCTGGTTTATCTGCAGTAAAGAGTTTTTGATAAAAGTAGAGCAGAGCACGTTCTCAACCTGCCTGTTAGGAAGCGGCTGTTTGCTGCTCTGGAGTCTACTTCACAACTATTTCCTATCATTAGTGAGTCCTCCTCAAACAGTGTTACAATATACTCTTATTTTTTTAATAATTGTTTGTGTACTGGATGTTGTTTGAACAGCCAATGGTGCAGAGTGAAGTAAGAAAACTTTGTGTTCACCCTACCTGGTTTATCTGCAATAAAGAATTTGTAGTAAATGTTTTTCATAAAATGAAATTAAATTTGCTTTATTACCACTCACACATGTAGTTTATATACAAATTTGAACTATTTACTTAAATGGCTGTTATTCTTTTTATAGATTGCATGTGGGCTATTTCAGAGGTCTGTTAAGCAACACAGCAATCTTCAGACCAAAGTTCACAACTTAAAATAATTGCTCTGTGATTATGCCCAGTTCAAAGTTTTAAAGCAATAAAATGACCATTGTTGTTTTATTTTGAAGACAACTTTTCTGGAGGAAACTTGGGAGGATTGTAGAAGCCAGGCTCTTCAGTTTCATTTTCTCAGCTGGCTGCAGAACATTCTCATCCAGAGTTGTAGGGATTATTATTCCATGGAATGTATTAGTTCCTCAATACATGCAATGAGTCAGAATGTACGCTGGTGTAGAGAGTTATTTAGTGATCACAAGATTATGAAGGGGTTAAGAAAGAAATGTACATACATTATTAGAGCTGAAACAATCTTGTTGATTAATCGTTTATATATGAGAATCATGTAAATAAAAGTTTTGTAAAAACAGGCATTTCTCTATTTTGGTGACAATATAATACAGAACAAATAATTGAAAGAAAAAAAAATCTGCTGATTTATTAATATCGATTATTTGTTAGTCACGGTTCTAGAAAATATTTATTTTCTAGATTTCTTTTTCAGTAACATTTTGTTTTGTCTGTTGACAAGACTATGACCTTAAGGGGCCACTGAAATATGTTTGAACGTCAGGGCATCTTTATGAATCTTCTTAAAACCAACACATTTCTGTTGGTAAAATCTGGTAAAAAACACTTTGAAATCCACATTTTCATCAGCAGGTTTACATTATAAAGAACATATGTTTTGTGCTTTCATGTCCTGTCAGTGTTGATTTTCAGTGACAGTCCCTTGGTGGAGAGCCACTCTACAGCAGGGAGGAAGGTTTGGTGAATTATTAGTGTTTGGTGTGAAAACTGCATAAAATAAACCGAAAAACAACTCAGCTCTTTTGATTTCATCCGCTACAAATATTACTGCCTCATACCATCATATCAAAATAATTCACTAAGTGTCCTTTATTCCTATGAGGCCCCTGTAGACACTCAGAGACACCCAAAACTCCAGATACAGTATGTCCTCTACATTGATTGGGTCTACATCATTTTATCACAATTTTTTCCAAGATTCACTGAAATACAAAATCTACAGTTTTTCCTGTCCTCCATCTAATGTCCCTTCTCTTGCAGAGGGATCCTTAGTCTAAATCAATTAATTTAAGTTGTGCCGAGATCCCCCCACAGAAATCATGGGCAGGTTTGCTTTACATCATAGGAGAACTCCAAGGCTACAGTTTAACTGTTTTAATTATCAATACACATAACAATTATTTTTCTTAATAATCAACTGTAAAATCTATTGAATGCAATAAAAAGTCTTTCTCTGACCAACCTTCAGAAACTGAATTTTTATCATCATAGACAAAACGGAAAAGTGGTAAATATTCACACCACAGGATAAAAATGGTTCCAAAGATATCTGGGCCAGTTTTGTTTTTAAATGATCAATCACTGACCTGTGCTTTTTAATCTTCTGTCAATCAACTCATGGATTATTCATCTCATCGTTTCAGCTCTAAAGTGCTGCTTGGTCTCTGGGCGCCGGGGATATAAAGAAACCATCATATACAGCGAGAATCAATAGGTAAACAATAATTATTTGTGTCGTCTTGGCGATGAATCCAGCCAGGATGTATAATTCTACACAATCAAAAACTGTATAATTTGTCAAGGTAAACAAAAGACTAGTGCATACACACAAAGACAGAAGCCTGTAGTAAAAACTGCACAAGAAAAGAAAAATATTTGTTTCGCCAGTTAAATAAACTTCTCTCTGCCCTCATTCCATAATTGGTGAGACCCTCCAACAGTCACCTGCCACTTTACATGTTTCCTTATATACAGTTAGTGCTGCGTGGCTACAGCTGTTGACTAAACTAAAGAGCTGGAAGATATTTAAAAGAGAAAACGATCCTCCCACTGCCTCATCACATGTAACAGGATCCCTGAGAAAAGTGTATTCATGGCCCTGACTCAGTGACAGATGAGAATACATTTAAACAGGTTTCTGTGGCGATGAAAACTATAATTTTATACGTGATACCAAAATAATTAAAGACGGCCGATGTGCTTCAGCTGGAGCGAGTCTCTGCTGCAGGGTGTGGTCCCACACAGGACATGATGCACCACAAAATAAGACAAAAACAGTTTATGATAAGATGACACCAGCAAAATAAATAAATTCACTTTGAGAAAATATCAAAAAGACAGATTATTATTATAACCTGACAATCAGTCAAACAGTTTTTATGACTGACAAACAGTTTTTATCCCCAGGCCATCAGGCTCTTGAACCACGGACCATAACCACCATCTACCTCTATATTTGCAATTTTTGCACAAGACATTGCACATCACATCTCCTATGCACATTGTTTGAATTGCCGTTATATTTCCCTTTGATCGGTCATCTGTTATTATTCTTTAATTTAATTATGTTTATTTTTCTTTCTACTTATATATTTTGCATTGCATATGCACTTTATATTT